ATTTTTTTTCTAACTGTAAATAACATTAGCAATTTAAGTGCAATCTGTGGTTTTGTACTTCGTTAAAACCTGTTAAATTCTTAGAGGCTTGAGAATTAAAAACAAAACACGATGTGGCGGTATCACTAGTCACTTTGGAAATTTACAAGTTTCAACTGTGGAGGATGGCGTACTGATTCTCCAGCCTAGAGGGGGATCCTTGACCAGTTTAACTAATGACTGGCCGGCCCGAAGGTTCAATGGTCAAGAAGTTCTATATATCCTTAAGGGCCGGGTTAACCTCGTTAGCGCGTTTCAGGGTCAAGTCAAATCATTTATTCCAATTAAACCACCTAAAATAGCACTTTTGATCGTTTAATAAAATATAAAGATGATTCTAGTGACCCCTTCCAAAAGGTAGTTTCGTGTGGAGAAGAATGGGCACAAACTCCACACTAACTTTTTTAAAATACGTTTTACAATATTGTGAATACATTAGTTAAATAATTATATGTGAAGACAATGTACTCCTAGATTAAAACTACTATACTGAAATAGGCACAAAGTATTACTTTGAATTTTTTTAGGGTTTGACAAAAATGTTTATTTTTTAAAGACTCGAATTAGGAAATATAGTGGATTTTCACAAACGGGAGTCATAGTTCGCTCTGTCTTGTTTTTGAATACCACCCTATCACTTGTAATTTAAACTTAATCTCAGACAATAGATAACCATTGTCGACCGCATGTTAAAAGTAGCCACATTCTGTCCACAATTTTGGCAACAAACTCAAAGGATTTTGAACCCAAAAGGACGTTCGTTTTTACAACAAACGAAACTAACTCCCAAGCGAAACTAAAGAATTGTCACTAATAAATTGATAGCCCTCGTTAAACGTAAATTAATCAATAAAGCTTTTTATTTTATAAATTTGACGAATATTTAAATGATCCTAATCCTTGGGATTGATTTGCTACAGTTCAAAGAATTTGTATGACTCAAAACTTAGCGATTAAAAAGAGTGGCAGATAGTTTATTGCCAGTTCTTCTTGCCCGCTCTACGCCCTTGAGTTGCGAACTGGTAGTAAATGTAAATTTACAATTATTTTAACTTCTTTTTTGACGTTCATAAGTGTACTTGTTACTATATGAATAAAACTATTTTGAGTTTGACGATCGCAACCTTGTCTTTATTAAAAGCAAAAATAAATAGGTTTCATGCACTAAATAAGACAACCTTATTGCCGTTTTCATCTAAATGGTTATAATGTGTTTACAAAACATCACTGTCGAATGGTACTTTAAGAGATGAGTAAGAGAAGCGTGGCTTGCCTTCGTCGCATCTTTCATGTTGTGTAGGTACATTTAAGAATAATTCAACCGTACTAGTCGTTCTAAACAAAATGATTTGAAAGTGTTTAAATTCAGCTGATTTATGTATGATGATATTGAATTTAATTAATTATTCACCTACATTATAATAATAATAAATTTAAAAGTTTGGTAGTGGCAGTGTACCTTTAATACTGCCAGCATTTCATAGCTGTATTGCGATACTTACTCGTTGAGCGAGGAAAGCACTATTACTATTATTATAATTACTATGTAGGTGAAGAATATTGTGTACAGCTTCAAAAATCGATCGATTCTGGAAATCGTATTATCTTTTTGGTGCGTTTTGGTATCCGTTATGTTTATTTTAATATGAATTAATTTTATAGTCTGTAAATGCTACCGGTGCCAAACCCACTCGAGGTGTTTTTATCAATACCCCACCGCTCAAATTAAAACAAGGCGTATGTGGACGTAGACCTTATATATCTGTAGTCATACGGCCAATAAATTAAATCTGCTGCTTTCGGCTGGTAGAAGGTAACGACAAGACCTTTTCGCCGACCAGAACAGACCTACAGATGCCATCATCGCACGAACTTTACGAAAGTTTCAATCAAGTCAATGATGCCTGTTTATCTACATGTAATTAGTAAATTTTACATTGACTACACGAATTTTAGTCAAATATAATCTTGCTCCGCAGTTTGTACACAAAATTTAAATGTTCGTCAAATTTCTGTAAAATTGCTCGTGTCAACCGTAAGCTAAGCTAATGTTCGCGAACACCAGAATTGTTCAGGTTCATAAAAGTTCAGATAAAATTAACTGGCAAAGGACAGCTCTATCGATTATTTCTAAAAATATTCTCCTGATTTAGTCAACGCTATCCAGGTACAAATAAATGCGAATTAACTCAGAATATATCTTCTGTTTGTTCCTTTTATTGTCGTCATTTTTTTTTGTATTACAAACTATTTACGTAACTCAGTCATATATGTATACCTTCAGATTATAACACAAATTACCAGCAAATAGATATATTTAATGTAACTAAAAAAATACTTAAAAAATTATATAAAAACTTCTGGTATCTTTTATTAGATATAATGGCTTTGTTATTTCTCTTTTATATTAAAAATTATGTGTTTATGTTTGAATGTGCATTTTTGCCTTTTTTTGTATAAAGTAATTGTTAAGATATTATATAATAAGATACTGATAAATAAATAAATAATGTTTAGCACCCTTGCACTTCTTCACAGATACTTTTACTGATTTCTTTAATTACAGATACCTAGAAGAGATCACTTAGTAACCATAAAGCCGTTCGTCGCACCAACTTTATTGTTAATATTATTTAAATTTTGTGCAAAAACCTAATAAAATATAAATTTTTAATTTTATTAGTCTAATACATATTTACCGTTTACATGGAATTATAATATTGTAACATTGTTTAAGCTCCCACAACCCCCAATCGGACGTAATATTTCTACGTCTCGTTCCTTTTAACCTTCAACAGCTATTATTTCGTCTGGAATTAAACCTAGGAAATCCCTAATCAACCCACCATACGTAGATCGATAATGCTAAGTAAAGTATTGAAGAAAATGCCCATAAAATGCCCACTTATGCAGTAAGGACTCTTGGGCTGCTTGACTTCGGACTTGAACGCAATAAGAAAACATTGAAAATATATAGTCACTTTAAAATATAAACTGAATTGTCTCAATTGAATAGAAATGGAGGATAAACTGATAAGCGGCAAGGCTAAGAACGGCTTTAAGCTATCTGCGCTCGTTCTCTGTAATCGCAAATGATTTACTTCAATTACGTATGATTAGTTGATATTTTTAGTATTTATTTGTCCTCTAAGTAGTATTAGATACAATATTATATAATTTACGAACTCGGTACCAAGTTTATATTTTGTAGAAGCTGTTTTAAAACGTATCCAAAATTATTTAAAACATTTAAAGAAACTTGCCTGTATCGAGGGACTCAACACGGCTGTGAGTGTCAACATGTCAACCACGTATTAAAAAGGATGTTACGGTATCGCTATCAATCTATTTAATCCCCTCCCCAGAAGCTACAGATGACAGCCGTGTAATGCTTTCAAGGGGAAGGTGATTACATATTTAAAGGCAAGTTCGCTTTATAACGTGGGAGAGTTTTTAGGTCAGAAGTTTTAAGACCAAAATAATAAATAAAAATGTGTGCGTGTACTAGGTGTACACACGTAAGAAGTGAAACTTCTTTATGACCTTATTAGAAACTATTTCTTTAAACACAGTCAATTTTGATACACTGCCTAGCATACAATTTACTAATTAATTGCTGCAAATTGCGATTAGCAAATTTCAAGTCAAAAATGTAATCCGTTATCAAACTTCAAAGTCAAAAACATACTATATGTCATATTTTAACGCCGATAAAGAAGTTTGACTTCAAAAAGCAACGTAACCTTTTTAAATTTGTTCAAATTTTCTATTTATCAACTTTAATTATTATTATTGTAAGTAGTTTTTTAGTAAGTTCATTTATAGTTGGCTTTTAGAAAAACCTACAATTATTTATATATGTGCATATATTATAAAGTACATAGTACATGGGTCAAGATACATTAATTATTTATGTAGTACTCTACACTCACAAATTATCCTACGACCCAATACGAGGTGTACAGATACACACCTACATTGCTACGACTCGCCTACTACATCACATAGTCCGGGCTTGGTGTAACTTTTCTAATGAGTGGGCATAGACTATCGACATACGAGTACATCCAGAACCACAGATTAAAAATTATACCTGACTGCTGAATCCTAAATATCAGATGTGATAGTCCTTTCCTTTTATAAGCTTCTCCTAACGAGCTTGCGAGAATGATGCCTGATGTATCCGCTCCTCCCCTTGCCCTTCTCGCTAGTGCGAACCTGAATTCGCCAGAGATCCTCTGAACTCAGCGATCGGTGATGGTCGCGAAGTGCGGAATGCAGTCAGTTCAAAATGGCTGTGCTTGTAGTTAACCCGCAATTAACAAAGCGACTTCTTAGCCTAAATAGATCTAATCTCAAAACAATGTTAGGAACAATTACGGGCTAATGTCTCCTTAATAAACATCTTTGTCCTAGGTGCGATATACAGATGCAGAGGGTGTTTCAGCGCAGAGGAATCAGTCACCCACGTAGTCCTGGAATGCGAATGGACAGACATAATAAACCACAGATACGATTTCTGGTCTCAAGTTATGCCTTTGAAATTGTTTATCCTGTGCGACACTAATATTTATTTAAAGTTGCCACAGAAAACTGGGAAGTTAGGTGGGTAGTTAACAATAATAAGGTCACTACCAAATTTATGAGAATGCCCGACGAGCCTCCCTTCGACAAATGAGCCTATAGCCAATACTTTCCGTGTTCCACCTTTACGCTCAAGTACATTAAACGTTATTACCAAACCCTCTGTTTTATATCCACGCTATGCTCAGACCGTTTCGATAAAAATATTATTAATTCACATGTGAAAATCAATATATATAAAAACAGCAATTACTCGGTATATAACCTAGGATCTGTAATAATAGATTCCCCTGAAATGTCTTCGAACCTGTGAAAAGTTATATTATATATAATTTTATAAACCAATTATAGAACAGTCAATCTAAAAGGGAGTATAACTACGACTCCGGTGCAATCTGTGGTATTTCGAAAAAGGCTTGTGCAATAGACAAAGCAGAAGATACTGCAGCATAGAATTTAGGAATCACAAAGAGTGCAGTGTCTAAGAGAGTGGGTTGACTAGCACACCTGGGTATTTGGAAGGCGATTTCGTCAAGGCTGTCTGTGGGCTGGCTTAGCGGTCTCTCCAGCAGACGCGATGGAGCTGTCAAATTATCAGCACTCAGGTTTCGTCTGTATCGGCGCATCTTTCCCTCGTCTCGCCGTAGGTTGTGTAAGCGGAAGAAGAAGATCGACATTATCCCGGAACCCCCGGACTGCAACTCCACGTTTATCTCCTAGCGTACATAACTTTCACTTGGAACTCTGACACACACTGTTCAAAAGTCATCGTGGTAGTCCATTACGAAGCGGCGTCAAGTGTATGTTTACATTGAGAGCTTTATGAAAACTGATAAATACGGGGTCTGCGCCTTAATGGAAACAGGTCAAGAACGATCTTACTGAGCTTTGTTCCCTCTCGCTTATTAAAGCAGTTAACCCGACGATTCTTAGCTAATTTTAATCTCAAACGTTTACATAAAGTATTCAATTAAGGAAATGCTTAAGGTTTATAACATTTAATGAACTGTCGTGGCGTAGAAGATGAAGAAATATAATTACAATAGACTTAAGTTATTCACAATTAGAATTCCCTAGAGGTTTTTCCAATTAAAGTACTATTAAAAACCTTTTATATTTTCTACGTAACAAACAATAAACTAGACGACAACTGTTTTTAAGAATAATTGACAGAACTTACAACTTAAACAGTTATCTTCTTTTGTTCTAATTTACGCTTAATGATTTTTAGCTATAAACTTTCGCAACAAGCTGCAAAGTATATTTTGAGCAAAAAAGTTACGTTTGCAACATTGTTTTAACACCAACATACTTCTTTCATTCTATTTTATCTTTCCTTCACTCATCTCTCACTCTAAACGCCCTGTCTCTATATGTTAAAAAACATGGAAATCAAAAACTGTGCATAATTATTGTATTAAGGAGGAAAAAAAGTGTGAGATAAATGTTTTGAACCAAGTTATTTCAAAGATATATATTTATGCCAGTTGGCAAGGGCGCGATGTTCACAAAGCGTATTTCGCTTTATCATTTCCTAGATTTTTCATAAAATAGAAATGAAAGCTTGCAAAGTTTACACAAGTATCGCCAGAACTAAATTGGAAAGGTCTACACTTCAAGAAAAAACCAAATATGCCGCATGAAAGAGGTGAGGGCTCGCCCTAAGGCAGTTGGTGAGCCGTAGGGAAAATAACAACTTCCTTACATCCGGCTGTAACCGATGCGCAATTAAGAAATCTGTAGGTGATATTGGCAGCTCTTTATAGTTCACGTGGTTGTAATTAAATGTCAGAGAAAATTACTAAGGAAAACGCTGAATCGCTGCTTGATGATAAGATACTGTTAATAATTCCAGCTAATACAAAATAAAATTAGTTTCTTCGCGTTAAGGTATTTTTACAATGCGTCCTAGAGCAATCTAAGGGTTGAGACTTAATGAAAAAGCTACTCACGGTTTATTTAGTTTCAGAATAATTGAGTTACTGACGATTAGTCCGTAAATTTATTGGAAATATAACTACTACTGGATCTAATATGTAAATATAAAAACGCATAGTCAATAAAACGACTGTTAAATGTCAAACTTACATACAATGTTTGTAACAAAATTCTGTCTCGAAGGACCAAAAAATTATTACGCCAAGTTTTAATGCATTTTGACGCAAAAAGAATGATTTGATTCAGATCAGGTTATAAAGAAGGGACCGAAAAGGACTCACCCAACGACAAACTTTGTTCTGTTTGAAGAACGTGTGTCTACCGCCAAGAAAATATTATGGAGTCGAAACGGAGTTTTTTTTAACTATGCACCCTATTTTATGCCCGCTATTTTAATGTCATTTTATTGGCAATGTAATTGAACGTGCAAATTCTTATTACCGAAACCAATAGTGTAATGTAAAGTTAAAACATTCTGTTAAAACATAGGTGATATGAACTAATAACAGTTTTGCATATACTGATCATTCTATATAAGGTATATTTCTAGAAATTCAAATCATTACATACACATTTTATTGCGAAAGGTTAATTAAATACAACTTTTGAAAGCACTTCGTTAAATATTTGTTTTCAGTTAATACAAAATTAATAAACATTTTATATCCCAAAGAGATAAAATAATAATGATTAAAAACTTGAATCCAATGAAACGTTCGCTGCGTAATAAAATATATTAGCCGCTCGGAATAATTCAAATTACAACAATTTTATTTTAATATTTTTATAAAGTACATAATAAATTAGCTTGAAATTAATTTATTCAATAAATTTAATTGAATCCCGTATTGAACAGTTATTTCCTTGGTTGTATTAATTTGTTAATATCATTTTACTCCGAGCTTACAGACACATATAGAAAGCTACTGCATTTGATGATTTTTCTTATACAAGGAGGTGATCAGTGTCTGACACGTCCTCGATTTTTCAGTCAAAGACATGCCGGTTTTCTAATTACATCTTCCGTCTCCATACAATCAAGTGTTAGCGCACACACACCAAAAAAATTAATTAGTGCCAGCCGTTTCTAGCTTAAGGGTTGAAAGTCGCTCAACCGCTGGGCTACTGCCGTGTTCCCTAATGTTATGCTAAGACATTTCTCTGCTATTTTTAGACTTATGATTTTGCAAGTATTATGTCTTAAAAAGATAAAGTCTTCGTGGCACAAATGACCGACTCCACTGCTTTTCTTTTGGTTTTTTAAATCAATAATTGTGTTGTTTAATTTATCTTATTTATTTAACTTAACCCAATGCTTTTTTGAAATACAAAAACTTTGTTTAAAAAATACAACGGACTGCACTATATAATTTTGGTTTATGTTTAAGTTGAAATAGCATTTAATAATTTTGAACTTACAAATCCTAAGTTTTAAATCAGAGCCTTTTCGAACGTTTGTCCGTACATTTGGGAAATACACTACAGCTTTTTTTGCCAAAAAATTACGAATACGTCACGAGAGAATTAATTGCAGTGTTCCATGTACAACAGAGACATTATGTTCCTTTAAATAGACGTCACGCTTGTTTAAACGCTGCATCTTTTACAGAACAAACATTACTAATGACTTGGGTGGGATGCATAAACCGTTTTTATAAATTATGGTAGGCTATAAGCAGTTACATTCAGTAGCTCAATACAGTACACTTCTAAATTAGGTTTTAATAGATTAATTTAATCATTTATATTGTCAATTATGGAGCCTTAACTAAGGTTATGTTATGTATACAATTATTGGCACAAATGCATAAGTTTCCTAGATGAAGATCTCTACCTGTAGATTTGCGAGAAACGCCTGGTATAAAAGAAATAACGAGTTACAAAATTTCTCAGTTCTTCATTACTTCACGCAAATAATTATAATCATCACTGAAATAATGATTTTATATCAGAGTTCTTCTGAAGCTTAAATAGATGAATTGTATTTTACGGCATCAATGTTCCGTTAATTTGAGATATTTTTTTACTAATTTTGTATGAAATAACCTTAATAAATGTATCAGGAATATTAAAATAAATTATTAAAAAAAAAAATATTGCAATAGCATTTGCGTTCATAGTTCCACTTCACATTTTATTTAATTTCGCAATTTTTTCATAGGACTTCATTTTAAACGAATTATGAATAATCTGTTATTTTAAACGACGAAGACAACCACATAAACATAATAACAAATACAAGATAGGAATTAATAACGTTATATTATAATAAATATTCTTAACAAAGCTGAACTCCGCGGGGATTTTTACTTCACAATTTTTTACCAAGATAAGAATCTAATATACCACTTTTAATTATCAAAACAAAACACGACCTAAATTTCCGTAAATTAGACATACTTTTTATCCGTGAACCATCCGAAAATTATAATCACACTCGCGATTGAAATTCACGTTATTTTTACCGAAAATTTTATTAGGCCACAATCCAAAGAGAAATATGTAAAGTGTTTTGTCACGATTTTCAGTGCGAAACACGGCTGCATCCAGCCCGCGTTCGAGCGCGACTCTGAGATGCCTTGTACCTCCCGTACCCTCGATCCCTGACACCTCACTCCCCCACCCATCAATTTTTACATTTGTGGTCAATCTATTCGCAATGCAGTGATAAATAACTAAGTTTTGGAGTAGTATTTAATAAAATATTTAAAATTAAAAATCGCGGTAATAAAAGCCTATAATGCACATAATAAGTTTACTGCAAAGTGTTCCTCGACTAATTTATTTTGTTTATTGTTTTCTTTGTACCAGTAAGCCTGGATTTAAACCATTTAATTTGTAATCATCTAATTACTTATAATATATTAGGAAATAAATTGTAAATCTTATATATATATATCGACCACGCAGGCTGTTAATCTAGTGATCTTAAAAGCAAGTTAATTGGTCAAGTATGAAATTTTCATAAATTTTTATCGTGTTTTATTTGTCAAATTGTAAGAGTATAAATCTGTTGTGGAGGCAGCTAAATTTACACTCACCACGCACGTATAATACATGTATAAATTTAACTTTTTTAATAACATTAGATTTATAGTAATAAAGTCAAATGACTCTTTTTACTGCAGGCACTGCTTGGAACTTCCTGTAGTCGTTTTTAAGGTTTAAATTGTTGGATATTCTACTTTATTACAATTTGTTGTGGCCTGCACCGCTACCCTGTATCTTCTAAAAGCGAAACTGGTTCTAATAATTTAGTCTGCAACAAGTTATATAGTTCTCTTAATATCCGAAGAGCGCTGATGTCCCAACTTTGGGATCTGCATAATGGGAATTGCAGAGCCCAGTGTTTAATGAAATAGGTCTTTATTACAGCCATCAGTATCTATCAATGTCTAATAATATTTCAATCAACGTTGATTGAAACGTCGATTAAGGGTCTGGTATGAATTAAACTTTTCTGCTGAAATGGCGTAAAAAATCTATTTACTAGTATTACTTATTGAGTATCTGATACATGGACGCTTACGATGAAAACTTTAAAATTTAAACAATAAAATTTGTCCATATCACGTCTGCTACTGCTTCTTCGCAAACTTCATTACTGAAGGTCGTGCTTGTCTTGAAGTGCCCTAAGTGATACATCGACTTGCTGCCTCCACACCACTCTTCAGCTTGTCTCAGTGCATTAGGGATTTTGAGAACCATAATTGTCTGTACTTGGTCAGACCAACGGGTA